GGCGTCCCGCAGTACAACGGCGTCGTCGAGAGCGCCATCTGGCGCATCATGAAGGCCGGCATGGCCGCCCGCCGCAGCGCTGGCCGTGTGTTCGACGTCGACTTCGCCTCCATCCCCGGCCTCGACGAGCGCGGTGACCGTCTTTGGATGGAATCGGCGAAATGGGCCGCCGACGCTTTCAACCAGTCGGCGACCAAGANAGAGCGCCATCTGGCGCATCATGAAGGCCGGCATGGCCGCCCGCCGCAGCGCTGGCCGTGTGTTCCACGTCGACTTCGCCTCCATCCCCGGCCTCGACGAGCGTGGTGACCGTCTTTGGATGGAATCGGCGAAGTGGGCCGCCGACGCTCTCAACCAGTCGGCGACCAAGGCCAACCCCGGGCGGCGCTCGCCGCACGAGATGTTCACCGGCGAGCAGGGGCCGTTCCGCGTGCTGCCGTTCTTCCAGCCCGGCTTCATGCGTGAGGATCGCCGCACCAAGCTCGACGACCAGGCCACCCCCTGCTACTACCTGAACGGCGGCGACAACCACCCGAGCGGCACCGTCAAGGTCCTCAAGGCGTCCACCGGCCGCGTCGTCTACACCAATAACGTGTCGTGGGTGACGTCGGCGCCAGCTGGTGAGGGGGGTTCCGCTGGTATCGCCGCTGCGCCGACACCCCCTCCGTTCACGCCGCCGGTCGTCTCGATCAACTTTGGCCCAGCACCGACGCCTTCGACCGCAGCACCACCGCCGCCAGCGCCCACGCCGCCGCCCGCTCCCANACCCCAGATCCAGACCAGCCGCCGCCGCCGCCGGACCCCGCGATGCCCCCACTTACGGCTCACGCCATGCGGCAGTTTCGCCCGGGTACAAAGGCCGAGGGTATGACAGACCCGCGGCTGCCAAGCCGTACGAGATCGGGCACAAGGCACAGCACAGGACTCATCTCGATGCTAGACAAGAATACTCTGGTGTCGATGCTGGAGGCTCGGAGCGCGAACGCAGGGAGCTGGGGGGGGCGGAGGCCGGAGAGCCGGGGGGAGCGGAGACCGGAGGGCAGGCGGGAGCACTTGCAGCTGTGGACCCGGGGGCTGGAGGAGCGGGCTTTCCACTCGCATTTGCCACGCTCCTCGCCACCCGGGAAGACATCGACGCCACGCTGCGAGACCAGCGCCCGCCGGAGCAACGCCCTGACCTTCCTCATTGCCAGGCCAGCGACCTTCGTGTCCCTAAGAGCTACAAAGAGGCCATGGCGTCGGAGCACTGGCACCTTTGGAGCGACTCTATGCAAAGGGAGTTTTATGGCTTGTTGGAAGCGGGGACTTTTACTCCGGCGAAGTAGCAACTAGTGGAGAACGCAATTAACGCTAAGTGGGTATTCGATTGGAAGGCAAATTACTTTGGATGGCCCACGAAGGTTAAGTCGAGACTTGTAGCGAGAGATGATATGCAGAGGGAGTACATTGACTTTGGAGAGTTGTACGCGCCTACCGTTTCTGTTTCGTGTGTTAGGGTGTTGGCTGCTTTGGCGTGCGAGTTGAACCTCGACTTGTGTTTCGATGTTGAGCAAGCTTTTGTGCGTTCGGAGTTGGAGGAAGACGTTTACATGCGTTTGCCGCAGGGATGTGGAGATCTATCTGGAATGATTGTAAAACTAGGCAAGAGTCTGTATGGCTTGAGACAGACATCTAGGCAGTGGCATGCAATGCTGAACAGGTGTTTGGTAGAGTTAGGTTTTGAGCAGTTCATGGCCGATGCTTGTGTGTTTCGTTTGATTGAGGATGGATGTGTGGTTTTGATTTTGGTGGCACATGTAGATGACATTATTTTATTTTTTTGTGCAGCATCGAGATGAGTCCTGTGCTGTGCCCTGTGCCCGATCTCGTACGGCTTGGCAGCCGCGGGTCTGTCATACCCTCGGCCTTTGTACCCGGGCGAAGCTGCCGCATGGCGTGAGCCGTAAGCGGGGGCATCGCGGGGTCCGGCGGCGGCGGCGGCTGGTCTGGATCTGGGGTCGCCGACGGTGACAGCGAAGAGGCAGAGGACGGCTGGCCAGGAGCGGGGGTCGCCGACGGTGACGGCGAAGTGGCAGAGGGCGGTTGTGAAGGCGTGGGAACGGGCGGCGGCGTTGCGGCAGGGGGCGAAGCGGCAGAGGGAGCGGGAGCGGGCGACGACGTGGGCGCTGGCGGCGGCGGTGCTGCGGTCGAAGGCGTCGGTGCTGGGCCCAAGTTGAACGAGACGACCGGCGGCGTGAACGGGGGGGGTGTCGGCGCAGTGGTGATACCAGCGGCAGATCAGTGTGGACCTTAGCTCAAGCACGTCTCACATGGACTATGTTGCAGTTCGGACGTTAGGTAGCGCGTTGGCGAGTTCACGAGTATGGCGCTTGGTCAATCCGTGGGACATGCATGACAGCCGCGTGCGCACACCAGCACCCAAGCACAATAGGAGCACAGAGTTGGAAGCACAGAGAACTGCTGTGTTGTCTCCGCAATGTAGACTAAACAGCAGCCAACACCCTCAACACGGCTTGTTGTGTGCATGGGTTCTGCATGTGGTCACCACACGATTCCAGGATGTATTCTACCCAGTCATACAACGCGTACGGAAGGCCGTCAAGCCATGAAGTAGTACACACATCGTCTGCAACACTGTTGTAGCTGCACAGTGGGGGCTACGGTTTAACCCTTTGGAGTCTACAGTCAGATAATTGATAACTTTTTCCATATTGCGCCGGACAGACGGTCTAGTCGTAGGCCATTTGTTACGACGCTCTTTTTAGGCTGTATTTTTTTCGAAAAATGACAACTGAGCAAACAGCCCCGCGTTACAACGTCTTTTTTGCTAAAATATGACAACGAAAAAATGACGAACCGTTTTTGACAGCCTACAGCGCCGGCATTCGTCAGGCCGAAGACGGGTGGGTGCTTTGAAAAAATATATAACCTTCCTTCATCAACGAATTGAGCGGAACCAAAATATTCGTGAGAAAGCTCTCATCAGCAGCAATCGAATAAGCCCATTCACAGCGCGGGGTTTGGGCTTTCAAGAAAGATATGCCCCCATTACCGTCATAGCAGAAGGCACTTCATCCCACAAGAATCGCCATATCTCAACACCTACGGCAAACCCCGCGAAAAAAATTGCAGACTCGAAAAAAGGTCTCTTTCAGAACTATTTTGCTGCGGCGGAATAATACCCGAGCTCGTTGAAGAACATAAAAAAAATCAGAACCAACATTTCAATTTTTTTCGCCCACATCAGCCCCAACGGCTGCCACACATAAAGAGGTCGCGGTCCACGCCCATGGCTCTTAAGCTGCGCGACAAGTCCCTGGCGACCATACTGGCAACCTTGGCTCATCGTGGTGGTAAGCTGGTGAGTGTGCATCAGCACAAGGCTCCGACGAAGTATCGTGTGCAACTGACGGCCCAAGTGCATGGATCCAGGCAGCGCTGGTGCAGCCCATACATCAAGTTTCCGAAAGGCAGAACCACGGGTCGCGACTGGGCGGCTGAGGACCGGTGGGCTGCTACCTGGCGGCCATCCTTCTGTAGCGGCAATGTGCCCCACAACGATGCAAGTGCAGGCGAAGCCGAAGTTACGCCTCCCCGAGAAAAGCGGCCGCGGGACTGTCAACATGCTGCGGAATCCACCGGAGATGCACCGCCTGGAAAGCGCGGCGGAGCACGCCCTGGAGCAGGCAGACCAAAGGGAAGCTACGGCAGGAACAGGCTTCGCCAAGCTGCGCAACAGCTCAATGGTTATCTCGAGCGAGGGCAGCTCCAGTGTGCGCAGATGGTCTCGCGCGATCTTCCTGGAGCGATGTTGGATGCAGTGAAGGAGGCGCACCAGCAAGAAGTGGTCTATCGACCAGCGTTCCTCAAGCGCCAGAGCAACAGGGGTTTGGGCAGGAAGGAGGCTCTTCGCAAGCTGGCGAAGCATCAATCGCAGCTGCAAAAGGAGGCCGCAGCATCTGCTGCATGTAGATCGGGCTGGGAGCGGGGGCAGGGTTGTCTCCGCGCCGTCATCAAGGAATGCCAATCCGCTATAGCAGTCACATCTGCTGGACTCAATGTAAGAGATGTTGGGCTACACGATGCAGTGTAAATGTATGCCTGCGTTGATCGAAGTTTTCGTGCTGCAAGCACTGCTGTTGGTTTTAATACTGTGCGGTTGTCGCTATGCTGCTCCTGCTGCTGCCGTATGTATTTGATGTGATGCCGCCCATGTACATGTCTGGGTGAAGTTGCGCGCGACTGTTGGGCCGCAAGAACCACTCCGCCCCCACCCTCGTCGTTCATCCCCGCTGCTTGTCCCGATGATCTTACCATTGATTTTGCCCCCTTTCCTACCTTATGTACATGCAGGAGTCTGTTCTCGTCTCGCATTCACAAGCCGGCAGCCTGCAGTTCAAGGCCTTGGCTCGGAAAGGACTGTACCACAAGCTGCTCAGGGGGGTGTCCAAGAGGCAAGCTTTCGAGGAAACGGCGGAGTTTTTTGAAGTGGCATCCAGCACCCTCCGTGAGTGGGAGCTTTCCTACCGCACCAAGGGCCACATCCAGGTGAGAGGAGATATGTACCAGACATCCGTTTCAACCGCAATGAACGATGTGCGTGCCGTAGACTCTGTATGTGGCGATGAACATAAAATAGTACTGCTGTAGCTCAACAAGCTCGCCGGCCGTTGCGGCGAACATGCTCCCTCCGTGCAACGCACGCGCTATTGCTTCCTTTCCATCCCGCAACCGTGCATGCTTTTGAGCCACGCTATCCCTTTTTCTCAACAATGCGGTGTTCTTTGTCGCGTGCACCCTTGCTGTATTTGAAGGTGGACCAGAGGGGGAAACACGAACGGCGGTGGATCCTGAGCTTGGACGAGGGTCTTCTCGTGATGGTACGCCAATGGATCCGCGTCAACTCTATCAAAAATGGGGAGCCCAACATGACAGCCGAGGGCTTCCGCGAGTACCTCAACAAGGACGTCTTGCCACAGGTATAGCAGACACCAAAACGTGCGACTACGACCCCTTCAAGCACGCTCCTGTCACCAAGACGTCGACTGAAACGGCATCAGGAGAGATAGTGGTGTCGTACTTGGTGACCGTTCGCACGGCGCGCTCCTGGCTGCACAAGCTGGGGTGTGAGTACCGCGATCGCAGTCGGGCCTGTACTTTGACGGCCGTGACCGCGAAGACGTGCTAGCGTACCGGGTCGAGAAGTATCTCCCGGCGTACTTTGAGCACCGCGATTACATGGAGATCTGGATCGAGGCGACTTCGGACGAGGCGCGGTCCTGGGAGGTGCAAGTGCAAGAGCAGGACAGGCAAGAGGATGGGCGTGTTTGGGTTTGGGTGCATGCCTTCAAGGAGACCCTCTCCGAACTTCCTCAGCATCTCCGCGAGAGGGTCACCAGCAAAAAAACATACTCTGACGGCAGGAGAGCGATCTTGTGCTACCATGACGAGTGCATCTACAGGGCCAACGACGGCCAGCGTTTCGCGTGGGTGCCACCCAACTATCACGCGTTCAAGAGGAAGGGAGATAGTCAAGGCATTATGATCTCTGGCACCATCGTCGACAACGTGGGGTTCGTTGCGGGTGACCATGCAGATATCGACAAGGCGCAAGCCTTGCGGCGTAAGCGGTGCGATACTTCGGCAACCGAACACGCGGCAGGTGACCCGACCAAGCCAGAGACGTATCGTAACATCGACAAGCTCTAAAAGGACGAAGACGGCAAGTGCTGGACCTACCACAGGGTCGAGTACGGCAAGAGCATGGACGGCTACCGGACGGGCGCGAAGATGGTTGAACACATGGCAGATGTATTGGACCTCTTGGCGGTTAAGCATCCGATGCACAAGCCCATCTGCTTTTTCGACTGGTCATCTTGCCACGACTGTGTCGAAGACGGGGCACCGAGCGCAACTCGCATGAACGCCGGGTATGGGGGGGTGAGGAAGGGTAAACAGTTAGCTGCCCAGGACGCTACGACCCTACTGGCAGACACGCCCAAACTCAAGCAAGGGACGGTGCAGTACCTTACCTTTCAGGGCGAGAGCCTTTTCTGCGACGTGGGTGCCGAGGATTACATTGGCAAGCTCAAGGGGCTAAAGCAAGTTTTGTTTGAGAGGGGGCTCTGGAACGCGGACATGAGCATGAAAGGAATCAAGAAAGGCCAACAGAAGTATGACCCAGCGTTGTGTATGCCGGTGGGGTTGGGTACGCAGGAGGACTTGGCGAGCGTAGAGCCTAGCCTAGTGGTCTTCGTGAAGCGCCGTGAAGGAGTGGCAATCATACTCCCCAAGTACCACTGCGAGATCAACCCGATAGAGCTAGTGTGGGGTAGATCCAAGTATTGGGTCCGGCAGCACTGCAAGTACACTATTTATCGCGTGCTTGCGGACCAATGTTTCTAAGAGCTACGCGGTGGCCGAAGACCGCTTGAGTCTAGCAATTAATTGTGCAAAAGTTCTGCAGGACGGTGGCCAACTTCAACGGGGTGTACCGCGACGGACTCCAGGGCACGGAAGCAGTACAGAAGAGGGACACCTTTAAGTCTCACCGCAAGCCGGCCCCGTCAGAGTACATTAACCCTAAGTGATGTACACGTTTATTCTGTGTTGTGTGGTGTTGAAGCGTACGTACGTAATATGTCGACATGGGAATATCAATCGGTTATTATCTGTCTGCGTGTTGTTGTCAGTGGCGTTGTTGCAGTGCGTGGTGTATTGTTTTGTTCCCCATTTCCGTTGGCGGATTCTCTGTGTGCTACAACAATATGTATGGCCGGGCGTATAGCGTTCATTCAGTAGTGGCAAAAATGAAAAGTGCAACGTGCGTGGGTATCGTGGGGTCATTGTACAGAAAAAAGGGTCCCAGTCGATTGAAGTAATCAAACATACATGGGAAACAAGCCGGTGCGCATGGGCCACATTTCCTGTCTTGCCCCAGGAAGGCGCCATATACACACATATCAACATTTTTTTTTTCATGAGTATATTCGTTCTTCGCTACTCAAGCCCCGCCGATACAAAGAAAAAAAAAGGAGATGCGGGATGTTTTGAGTTCGTGGTTGCCGAAATATTAGACAAAGAGTTATCATCCCCCCCCCCCAGATGTGCCTTGAAAACCTATAGAAAAACCATGAAATTCCAGGAACGCCTCATCAAATCGATTTGGTCCCTGAACAACTCTTGTGGCAAATAGGATGTAGATTACTACTATAAACAAAAAATTGAAAAAAGTGAAAAACTCGTGAAGTTATGGCCGGTCAACCAAAATCGGCCTGACGAATGCCGGCACTGTATCCTGTCATTTTTTGGGCAACTTTTCGACAGGATGCGCCTGTCCAAANTCAAATCGATTTGGTCCCTGAACAACTCTTGTGGCAAATAGGATGTAGATTACTACTATAAACAAAAAATTGAAAAAAGTGAAAAACTCGTGAAGTTATGGCCGGTCAACCAAAATCGGCCTGACGAATGCCGGCACTGTATCCTGTCATTTTTTGGGCAACTTTTCGACAGGATGCGCCTGTCCAAAAAAGTTGTCATTCTTTCGAATCACGCGCCGACGTTGCTGGCACACACACACACAAGCATCGCCAATGTGGAAGTGGCTGCCATCGCTGGCACTCCTCGCTGGCGGTGGGAGTGCCACTCGCTTGACTCCACCCTACATCAGCAGCCTGGGCTCTCTTCCGATGGCCGAAACCGGTGTGGGTGATGCCCTGCTACCAGCAACCGCTCTTGCTGTGGCCTTGGTCGCCCTTGATGAGGTCCAACTCAACGACTAGTCGCAAGAAGAGGAGGAGGATCGTGCGCCCGACCTTCCCCGCCCTAAACTCTCAAGAGGACAGCGGAAGAGCAAAGACGTGGAGAAATGCGCTTGGGCACAGATGTTGGAGGATAAGGACCTCGAGGACAGCAACAGCATTACCTCCAAGCAGTTTCGCCTTGACTTACGCGTCCCCTACAGCTTCTTTCTATCGCTCGTGGCGTTGGTGAAGAGCAAGGGCTGGTTCACCACTTCTGGCTGCGATGCAGCAGATCGGCAAAGCCACCCAGTGGAGCACAAGGTGGGCTGACGGCATATTGGGTTCGTACGAGTGCAGACTCTGGCCTGTAACCAAGAAGGAGAGCTGCTGTGGTGTAGAACTGGAGTTGAACATATGTGGCGGAGGGACAATTGCTGTAACACAACATTTTTCTATTCCTCCTGTTGCCAGCTGCATGCCGTCTCTGGGGCATGCCCGACCTCGCTTGGTGACCGCTGGCCGTGTTCGCACAGTCGGGCTCAAACATGTTACTCAAATCGTACAGCAGTACAGATGCTCTGTCCACAGCCAATAAGGAGGGGACTGCTGCTGCTGCTGTTGTATAGAGTGCAGTACAAAGGCGGAGGAACCAGGCGCATATTGTAAAATATTGTATTAGTTTATGCAGGTGCATGCCGCCTCCTGGGCATGTCGTTGACGAGACGCGGTTGGTGACCACCGGCCGTGCTCTCCAACCCTCGAAAAAAGTGCACAACAGCATATGTTCACCGGACAGTGTTTCGTCGGTGTTGTCTGTAGGTACAGCATGATGTACACTTTTGGTTCAACTGCTGCTACGTACAACTGCAGCACCACCGTTGTGACGTCACATCTGGTTGAACTGGCGACCGAGATAACGCAGGAGAAGAGCGCTGCAGTCGGCGCGACGTCGCAAAGCTAACCGGCAGTCGTTCTGTTGCCTAGCGTACGGCGCAATGCTCAGTCCTCCCGCCCGTGAGATGCTTCCACATGACATACGGTACACGCGACCACACCACATCACTATTAAGGGTACCCAGACAAGGGATTTTGACGCTGGCTCTTTTCTCATACTTTATAACAGTACAAAGAAAGAAAACAACCTTCCCGCCGGAGGAACCTGGTCCGTTGTGCTAGTATCAGTAGAGGATATCATCAAGAGGCGTCGTGCGTGCTGGCACGTTCAGGTATACTACTGGGGCTGAAATATCGAAGGTCGCAGCAGCCTCTGAAAACGGTCCGAAATCTGCGCCGGAACCAAGCGGAACTCAACACTTGTCACAGCGGTGCTCACCACCACGGACCGCAAACCCCTCAACTGCGGGTTGTCAGCAGTAGCTGGTGGCATCAGCTACTGCTGTAAACCTGCAGTTCAGAAGATTGGGTTCAGTGGCGGCGAGCACAAGCAGTACAAGACACTGGGTGTCGATCTAACTTGCGAGATTTGCGGAGATTGTGGACCACGACAACGACACTCGATACCACCACCACAGAAGAAGTTTTGAGCGCGCCAACACACCCCCCCGCTGCTATAGGGTGTCCTCTAGTGATATTGGTACAATGGACTAGGTTCCTAGCAACACCGGCCTTATTTGAGCGCCTTCCGTTTGGGCTCGTTTGACTTGAATTTAGACTGGTGTGGATTTTTATCTTGGTTTCAAAGGATGCGTGTGGAGGTCGACGCGCGAAAAGCACGTTTTGAGCGGTCTCTACTGCTGCCCTGTGCCAAAATTTTGGACTTGTTTTTTGTGCGATGCCTTCCGACTGGTCTTATGTGTCTCTAGTGCATTTTCTGGCGCTCTTGCGTTTGTTTTCGAAATTAGGCAACATAGCAGGAGGTTGTCCGGGTACCCTTGATGACACCGCGATATACCGTGTGTACATTCCTTGTTGCACGTGCTGGTGCAGGTACTGGCCTGGCTGACCATACTCCGCAGGGGCAACTGCTTTGCAAGCATCTACCAGATGTCGTGGATGAGCGCAAGACCGTGCAGACGATGCTGGTCACACACACGCAGGGCGAAACAATCGGCATAACAGGGTCGGGGGAACAGGGTGCAACAACCTCATTACTAATAACGTGGGGAAGGGGGGGGGGCATGACAAGCATTACTGCCGTAGCCCACACGCAAAAAGAATCACAACCGTTTACAGGAAAAAAAAACACCCCAAGAGAAGGCATGTCGGACGGTGCAAACAACGTCTTTACAATAAAACTTGGGCACAAGGGTACGGAGGGGGAGAGGGCATGACAAGCATGGCTGCCATAGCCCGTACACCAAAANGGGGGGGGGGGGGGGGGGGGGGGGGGGGGGGGGGGGGGGGGGGGGGGGGGGGGGGGGGGGGGGGGGCATGACAAGCGTTACTGCCGTAGCCCGTACGCCAAAAAAAAACGCAACCGCTACAAGAAAAAAAACACCCAAAGAGAAGGCAGTCGGACGGTGCAAACAACGCCTTTACAATAACAGTTGGGCACAAGGGGACAGAGGGGGAGAGGGCATGACAAGCATGGCTGCCATAGCCCGTATACAAAAAAACCACACACACTCTAAATTCTCACGTGTCCAGCCGCGCTAGCAACCGGACGTGCCGCTCTCGCAACAACACCAACCCTCTTGCGCGCCCCGGTGAATCCCGGGAGGGCGGACCGTGTTGCAGACCGTGTTGCGCCCAAGACGACTTCTTCGCCTTCTGCTTCCCGCCGCGACCCTTGGCCCCGGACGCGCCGCGAACCTTGGGTCCGGATATTTTGCGTGCGGTTCGGAGGTCAGGGTCCTCGCTGCTGCATGGCCTTCCGATCAAACACAATGTCAGGAGATACTGGTGCATCCACTTGTTGGGCCTCTGCGGAAACCCGCCCTCTTCTCGTGTGATTTCTTCGGAGGGGGCATCATCCCCGTTGCCCGGCGTATCGTCTTCTGGCTCCTTCTTCATCCCCCCCTCCCCCGCCGGTGAGTCATCACCGCTGCTTTCCTGTGGCTCCACTGCTTCCTCCGTTCCTTTCTGCTTTCCACTCTCGCCGTCCTCGCTCTCCGTCGGTGACGATTCCCCAGAGTCATCTTCCCAACCCTCTCCCTCACCGCCACCCCTCTCTTCTAACTCGATCGGGTCCTCTGCGTTCCCCGTTCCGGATTCCATGTGGTAAACTCCGTCCAGAAGGTACTCGATGGCGTCGTCGCCTTGGCTGCCCGACGGTAGTTGGTCCCCAGGTTGTCCTTCGACGAAACTGGGCCAGGGGTGCACGGGAACAAGGTAAAGAGAGGTAGGAAGAACGGGTGAGATTGGCAGCGATCGTAATGCACGCGCGCTCGTGTGTACGCGCAAAGGTGACACAAATTTTAAATGTTGACGGGCAGCAGTTCACACCCATGTCGCCACTGGTCTTACTATTTTCGATCGGTTTTCTTCTATCCGACTTATTTCGAAGGGCCATGGCGCGGAAACTATGTCAAAAATACACACCACTGTATATTTCGCTGATGTTTACAATACTGTTCCGGGAGTCATGCCAATCGGCCAAAGTGACACAGCACCGGTGTGCCACATGCACATGAGTTCCGTCATCGTTTTAGAGTAGGCCGACCAGGGAGAGGTTCACCGTACCGAGGGCAAACGACACACTGCGAAACGCACAAGGGTTTGTGACTACAGTTTTAACTTGGTGCGGAGAGTGCAACAATAAATCTGCCATGAGTGTATCGTTGTTTATTGTGTGTCTCACCGCGACAACTTGCATGCGTAGTTTATATGATGGGGGGGAAACACGGTGGGGGATGGGCGGTCTACTTTATTTTCTTCGCAACATGTTGTACGCCCTGGGGCCACCTATCTCAAAAGCTGTTCCCATCCGTGGTGTTTTGTTGCTTTCTTGAAGGGGGAGGGGGGAAACGCCAGCGAGTTACCGCCAAAAACAGCTGTTAACGCGATTGAGCATTTGTTCAACACTGCTGTTGTCCGCATAGTACATGCATGGTGATCGGGGCACGTGACAGTTCGAAATTTAAATGTAATGCGGCAATTCCATTGGTGTGCGGACAAAAAACAAGAACATCAAACCGGTAGGCACCGCGTTCGATTCACGACAACACACCAGACACGGGCATATGTGGGCGGTTTTTACAGAAACATACGCAACATCACTGATTATTACTCTCGTAAACCCGACTACTATTCTTGAGAACAATTACCTCTGTTCAATATCCTCCGTGTTCCTTCGTGTTCGGCCTCGCTTCTTCACTTAGTAGTGCCTACGGGAGTTGTTCGTCGGTGCTTCTGTGGCAGAAGGTACGTGTNGTTGTACGCCCTGGGGCCACCTATCTCAAAAGCTGTTCCCATCCGTGGTGTTTTGTTGCTTTCTTGAAGGGGGAGGGGGGAAACGCCAGCGAGTTACCGCCAAAAACAGCTGTTAACGCGATTGAGCATTTGTTCAACACTGCTGTTGTCCGCATAGTACATGCATGGTGATCGGGGCACGTGACAGTTCGAAATTTAAATGTAATGCGGCAATTCCATTGGTGTGCGGACAAAAAACAAGAACATCAAACCGGTAGGCACCGCGTTCGATTCACGACAACACACCAGACACGGGCATATGTGGGCGGTTTTTACAGAAACATACGCAACATCACTGATTATTACTCTCGTAAACCCGACTACTATTCTTGAGAACAATTACCTCTGTTCAATATCCTCCGTGTTCCTTCGTGTTCGGCCTCGCTTCTTCACTTAGTAGTGCCTACGGGAGTTGTTCGTCGGTGCTTCTGTGGCAGAAGGTACGTGTACTACTCACCACTGTACACACAGTAGTAGTTACGCCGCCGACGCCAACCATGTTTTTCTCGGGAGGGCGTGGTTGCAGTCGACTGCTCGTTCACAGCAATGCACGCCACAAGAGAACAGGAAAATACCCTACACGGAACGCAACAAAAAAAATTGCAGCCTTGCAGCTGTACTGATGCCACTCCAAGCACGTACGCAAACAAGATAACAGACAGACACACCTGTCCTACACGGGGTTGTAGTATTTCTTGATTTCGCGCAGGGTTTTGTAGAACCGCTTCCACAGTTTTTCGCCGTCGGTGAAGAGGACCGCGCCTGCGTCGCAGTAACATGGGGTAGAAAAGTCGAACAGCAGTCGAACAGCAGTAGCAGTTAATGGTCAGCAGTAGCAGCAAATCAAACATGTGCAATGATCTACCCGAAACATACCTACTGCTGGATGACGTGCTGTAGACTACAAACATTGCTCTCCATGCCGCTCAATAAGAGTACCACAAATGACACAAGATACCACACCCCCTGGACCGATTTTCTAAGGCCGTTCCTCAACAGCAAAAGGAGTCACAGTGACAACAATGGCGGCGTTGAAGCCGTCTCATCGAGAGCTTTCCGAAAATGCACCGTTCCGTTCGTGCATCCTCTTTGCCGTGGAGTAATCGAGCTTTGAGAATCGGTCAAGGGGGTGTGGTATCTTGTGTCATTTACGGTAATGCTCCAGGAATGGGCGGGCTTCGGTTGCCATACAACTGAGGCTCGAAAGGCTACGCACAGACTGGTACACTGGTGTCGGGTTGCATCCTGTGGTTGCCGCTCAAATGATGGGCGGTGACAAGGTATCCTACAGCAGCATGTTGGTTCCTCTTGCTGCTGCAGCCGCCCGTCGTGGCCTGACTGCAACCTAAACACAACCTTTGGCCGGACCATATACCCTACACCGTACGTAGAGCATGTCATTTTCAACAGCGCATCATGAAGGCGCAGAGGGTCAGGTACACACTCGCACCCAGTCCCTCTCCTTCAAGACGGTTGTCTTCGCATTCGAAACCTGCCTCTCTCCCGCGTTGGTTGTGCCTTACCTCCCGTCATGGACGTCTTCCCCATGACCTCGAACGTGAGCCACAGCTGCAAGAAGAAAACCTCCTGTCCAAGCTTTCCTGCAGCCACTTGAAGAGGCCAGGGACAGCGATGTCCTTGTACCCCTGCGCCGCTGCCGTGTGCTTGGCCTGTGCGGAGACAATCCCGGCGTTGCGCTTGACCGCCAAGCACGAGTACACGATGCACACGTTCTGGAGGTGCTTCTTCAGCAACTTGGAGTCGTCAGGCCGGAGCTCCTGTCCCGCAGCATCGAAATCACTGTCTCGGCGTACGAGTTGAACTCCAGCGGGAGAGACTGTACGCCATCTAGTTTCTTAGCATCCATGGTCTGCTTTGCGGGATGTGGCTGTGTGCAGAGGAGCTGGTGTAGAGGGGCGTTGTGTTTTGTGCTGTGCGCGGTCTGTGGCGTGGGTGAAGGTGAAGGCGGAAATTAAAAAATCAGTTCGCTCCCGTACGCCGAACGCCGGTGAAAATCATCAAGAAACCCTTCCTTCAGAAAAAGACGTCGTAACCCTCGTAACACACAGGGGTAATCATTTTTTGTCATCAACTTTTAGGTCTTCTCTTGTTTGAAAAAAAGACAGCCTCAAAGAAGACATCGTAACAACATATGTTGTTGTACTTCGTATTGGTTTAAAATTCATGTAGAGCATGAGACATTAAGTGAAAGTTTTCTGAGGTACATCTGCAATTGTCGGAAGGCAAGAAAAAAAAAATGGCCTTACAGGGGAGGATACGACAGAAACCCCGCACTATATGCAAAGGAGTTGTAGAGCACACCAGGATAGAGGATAGAGCGCGCCCGCTCGACCAACACATAACTGCAAACACACGGAGCATCCACCAGAGGTGCGCCGAGAGGTCATGAGGAGACCTCCACGCCCCGCGTGGTCTGCCCTGTCTATCTGGGCGGCGTTGTTGGTAGCGCTTGCGGCAGCGCTGCCGGCAGCGCCAGTTGCCAATCCCGCTCACACATCGGCTTTGGCCGTCTCTCTCCGGCAGCCATCCACACTTGCTGTGAACGCGGCCACTGAGGACAGCGAGCTTGGCATGGAGGACAGCGGATATGCAATCGACCCAAGCGCACCGACTGATGATGAGGATGACTTTGAGTTTGATATGGGCGCATCGCACAAACCGATATATGCTGCGAACTCGCACAAAGCTGGTCGCAATACCCGGGGAGCAGCTCGGCAGCTACGACAACAACAACAGGCGCCGGCATCACCGGTCACTCCCCCAGAGGCGACGTACCCGTTCCTCAAACCCGCCGTATACAAGGTCAAGCGCACGCACAAGTCAGAGCCGAAAGCAAAAAAGTGTTTTTACCTCGGCCCTGGAATCAACACAAACCGTGATTGCGTGCACATCCTGAACGAAAAACGCCAAGCGATCACAACTCGCAACTTCACCTACCAATCTGTGCCCGCCGCCCCGACCGCGCACCTCCAGCTGCTGCCTCCCATTGCAGAGGAGGACGAGGAGCTCACGACTGGGGAGCACGAGGGCGGGGAGGGTGCGTCATGCCACGGTGGAGGGAGGGCGGAGGGAGAACCTGAGGATGGAGGTTTCCACCTTGACACGACGGCAAACCCGGGGCCCGCGGAGCCGCCCGCGCGTGATGCGCCGGCGGCGCCGCCGGCCGCGCCCCAGGATTCGGGCGCGGGCGACGCTANCAGCAGCAACAGCAGCAGCAGCGGTAGCGGCAGTGACAGCGGCAGCGACAACGACAGTGACAACGGCAGCGACAGCGACAGCGGCAGCGACACGGACATCCCGGCGCTCCGCGGGCCCGAGGGACGGAAGCTCGCCCGCTTTGGCGAGCCGGCGGAGCTCACCAGCCGCCGACTCAGGGAGAACCCTCGCCGGAACA